GAGAGCAATCTGAAGATTGGCAGAACAAACTCCACAGCTAAATGTAGAGAAGAAGCTGCATCTGAAAGGTTACAAAGGTCAGAAAGGTAGAGGGAGGCTGCCCATAAGAGGGAGGGAGCTAGGCATGAGCAGAGAAACAGGCCCTTGCACCAGGGAGCTTAAACAAGGAAGACTAATCCCCATAATATTTGGCTTTAAAAATCAGAGGGGCTGAATTCCATGAGTTTTTAAAAGAGGCAGATCTATGCATACTGATTTCAGAGTGTGTTGGAGGACTTCTCTGACAACAAGGGAGCTGGCACATTCCATTTTCCTCCCCCAGCCTCCAGCATAAACACAAAGCTATTTGCAGGAGGTGGTGCTGAACAGACATTTGCTACCTAATGGGCTGGCACTGCACTAAGCCCATGAGTTCTCCTGAGGACTCACTGACTCGGAGTCTGCTAGCCTTGGCTCTGGGCTTAGGGCAAATTTTGTTAACACGTGTGCCCCTACACAGCTGCCTGGTGCACAAGTGCGGCACTGCACTGTGCACATCCAACTTGGCACTGAGCTATACTCCCTGAGCCACCTTCAGGCATTAGACCCAACTGTGTCCAGTCATTGCTAGCTCAGCCTCCCCCACCAGCTGCCATGGTCTAGAGCCCTCAGCTGTCACAGTGCTTTAGGGGATCTGGTATAGGACTAGTAGCCCAGCTCAAATTTTGCTAACACCCCTGCCTCACTCCCACATTCCCTGGCCGGCACGCCCCCTTAGAGCTGGCCTGCCTGGATCCCACTAATACCACAGAGAGTGAGCACAGCCCACAACAGGCAGTGAGTGCAGATGACTGCAGTGAAATGATAAGTGACTCAGAGACGACAGCAGGGTAAAAGCAACACACATAGGATACCCTCCTAAAGTGTCAGGTTCTGCTGAGCAGGGGACATTGCACTGCAGGGCAGTACAGGACCTCTTCTTCATAAAGTCACTACTTTTAAGAGCAGAAGAAAGAGCTGACTTTGAAATTTATCCCCAATGAAAGAACGGGACAAGGCCAGAGATCTAAAAGAAACAGATATAAGTAACATGCCTAATACAGAATTTAAAGCAGTGATCATAAGGATACTCACTGGACTTAAGAAAAGAGTGGAAGATATGAGTGAGACCCTTATCATAGAGATAAGAAAGAACATAGCATAGATAAAGGGCTCAATAAACAAAATGAGAAGCATGCTTGATGGAATGAAAGGCAGGATGGAAGAAGCAGAGGAACGAATTAATGACCTAGAAGACAGTAATGGAAAGTAATCAAACTGAACAAAAGAGAGATAAAAGAATGATACAAAATGAGAACAGACTTAGGGAACTCAGTGACTCCATCAAATGTAATAACATTCATATTATAGCAGTTCCAGAAGAAAAAGAGAGAAAAGGGGGCAGAAAATTTATTTGAAGAAATAATAGCTAAAAACATCCCTATCTGAGGAAGGAAAAAGATATCCAGATGCAGGAGGCACAGAGAAGCAGACCCATAGCAAGACATATTATAATTAAATTGGCAAAATATAGTGAAAACAAAAAAATGTAAAATCAGGACGACAAAAGGAAACCATAACTTGCAAGGGAAAACCCACAAGGCTAGCACAAGATTATTTATTTGACAGAGAGAGACACAGCGAGAGAGGGAACACAAGCAGGGGGAGTGGGAGAGGGAGAAGCAGGCCTCCTGTGGAGCAGGGAGCCCGATGCAGTGCTCAATCCCAGGACCCTGGGATCATGACCTGAGCCAAAAGCAGACGCCTAACGACTGAGCCACCCAGGCACCCCTAGCATGAGATTTTTAAGCAGAAACTTTGCAAGCCAGAAGAGCGTGGCATGATATATTCAAAGTGCTGAGTGGGAAAAATCTGTAGCCAAGAATACTTCTAGCCAGCAAGGCCATCATTCAGAATAGAAGGAGAGGTAAAGAGATTCCCAGACACACAAAAAAACTAAAGAAGTTCATTATCGCTAAACCAACCCTACAAGAAATATTAAAGGGGACTTTAGAGTAGAAAGACCAAAAATGACAGTATAAAGGTGGGAAACACAAAAGTAGTAAAAATTCAGTCAAGGAATTAATGAAATAAAAGGAAATGAAATATGGCACCACATATATATAATGTGGGGAGGAGAGGGGAAAATAATGGGTTTAAACTTAAACAACCATAAACTTAATATAGATTGCTATGTGCAAAAGAAATTATGTAAAAACCTAACGGTAACCACAAATCAAAAACCACCAATAAATAGGTAAAGAATGAAGAGAAATAAGTCCAAATACATCACTAAAGAAAATCAGCAAAACATGAAAGAGAGAAAGACAAGAAAGGATCAGAAAAACTTCAGAAATAACCACAAAGCAAGTAATAAAATGGTAATAAATACATATCTTTCAATAATTACTTTGAATGTAAATGGACTAAATGCTCCAATAAAAAAACACAGGGTGACAGAGTGGATAAAAACAAAAACAAAAACAATACCCACCTATATGCTGCCTAAAACCAACACCACAGAAACACAATCATAAGAGAACATTATGAAAAACTGTATGCCAACAAACTGGTAACCTAGAAGAAATAGATAAATTCCTAGAAACATACAAACTACCAAAGCTGAAACAAGAAGAAATAGAAAACTTGAACAGGCTGATAGCCAGCAATGAAATTGGAGTCAGTAATCACAAACTCCCAACAAACAAAAGTCCAGGACCAGATGGCTTCACAGGCAAATTCTACCAAACATTTATTATTTTTTAAAAGATTTTATTTATTTGACAGAGAAAGAGAGAGATATAGCGAGAGAGGGAACACAAGCAGGGGGAGCAGGAGAGGGAGAAGCAGGCTTCCCGCTGAGCAGGGAGCCCGATGTGGGACTCGATCCCAGGACCCTGGGATCATGACCTGAGCCAAAGGCAGATGCTTAATGACTGAGCCACCCAGATGTCCCTCTACCAAACATTTAAGAAGAGTTAATACCTATTCTTCTCAAACTTTTTCAGAAAATAGAAAAAGAAGAAAAAGTTCCAAATTCATTTTATGAGAGCAGCATTATCCTGATATCAAAACCCGATAAAGATGCCACTAAAAAAAGACAACTACAGGCAAGAATGTCCACTCTCACCACTTTTATTCAACATAGTGCTGGAAGTCCTAGCTACAGCAATCAGACAACAAGAATCAATAAAAGGCATTCAAGTTGGTTAGGAAGAAATTTTCACTATTTGCAGATGACATGATACTATATAGAAAACCTGAAAGACTCCACCAAAAAACTGCTAGAACTGATACATGAGTTCATAATGTTGCAGGATACAAAATCAACCCACAGTTATATGGTCAATTAATCTTTGACAAAGCAGGAAAGAATATCGAATGGGAAAAGGACAGTCTCTTCAACAAATGGTGTTGGGAAAACTGGAAAGCAATATGCAAAAGAAAGAAACTGGGCCACTTCTTTTCACTGTACACACAAAAATAAATTTGAAATGGATTAAAGACCTAAATGTGAGACCTGAAACTGTTAAAATTCTAAAAGAGAACACAGTAGTGACCTCTTTGATATCAGCCATAGCAACTTTTCTCAAGATACATTTTCTGAGGCAAGAGAAACAAAAGCAAAAATAAACTATTGGGACTACATCAAAATAAAAAGCTTCAGCATAGTGAAGGAAACAATCAAAACTAAAAGACAACCTACTGAATGGGAGAAGATATTTGCAAATGAGATATACAATAAAGGGCTAGTATCCAAAATATGTAAAGAACTTATACAACTCAACATCCAAAAAACAAATAATCCAATTACAAAATGAGCAGAAGACATCGAACAGACATTTTTCTAAAGAACACATCCAGATGGCTAACAGACACATGAAGAGATGCTCAACATCACTCATCATCAGGGAAATGCAAATCAAAACTACAATGAGATATCACCTCACACATGTCAGAATGGCTAAAATCAACAGCGTAAGAAACAACAGCTGTTGGCTAGCATGTGGAGAAAAAGGACCACTGTATGGGGGGGAATGGAAACTGGCACAGCCACTGTGGAAAACAGTATGGAGGTTCCTCAAAATGCTAAAAATAGCAATTGCACTTCGGCTATTTGCCCAAAGAATACAAAAACATTGGTTCAAAGGGACACATGCACCACTGTGTTTATTGTAGCATTATCTACAATAGCCAAATTATAGAAGTAGTCCAAATGTCGATTGAAGGGATAAAGAAGAAATGATACATATATATATAGGAGAATATTACTCAGCCATAAAAATGGAATCTTGCCGTTTGCAACAATATGGATGGAGCTAGAGAGAATAATGCTAAGTATAATAAGTCAGAGAACGATAAATACCATATGATTTCACTCATATGTGGAATTTAAGAAACAAGACAAAGAAAAAAAGAGAAAGAGACAAACCAAGAAGCTGACTCTAAACTATAGAGAACAAACTGGTGGTTACCAGAAAGGAGGTGGATGGGGGGGTAAGTGAAGTCGGTGAAGGGGATTAAGAGTACACTTATCATGATGAGCACTCAGTAAGGCATATGATTTTGGAATCACTATATTGTATACCTGAAACTAATATAACACTATATGTTAATTCTACTGGAATTAAAATTAAAAACTTAGTAAGAAATAAATAAGATATAAACATATGTACAGGAAAAATGCAGTAAAATGAATTGCTAGATATTCATTACTTTATCAAACACAGCAATATAATGAACAAGTATTAAAAAAAAGAATAAAATTATGGGAAATGACAATGCCATTCCCTGATCTATCCTAAGTAAACAACTGTGGCTTGATTTATGTTGGATAATATTCTTTTTAGTGGCATTATACACAGCTGCTAGTACAGTTTGGAGTGGTTAAGTTAAGGAGACAGACGCACTGCTATAAGACTGAGGCTAATAAGCCTGCTTCAGTTCTGCCTTCCAAATCTCATGTGCACTTCTTTCCTTACCAACTCTAAATCGGAATAATACAGGGAAGAAGATTCTGGCAGATAAGGTTCTGGCTTAGCCAAGTTGGCATCATGCCTTGGTACATCATAGTCAGACTGATGGAAACCAAAGATAACGATAAACTCAAAGACAGCCAAAGAAAAGCAATGCATTACCTACAAGAGAAAACAATTTGACTGGCATCTTCGCATATGAATTAAAAGAAGCCAGAAGATAGTGAAATGACATCATAGAGGGCCAAGAAAAAACCCAACTATCAACCTAGGCTTCTAAAGAAAGCAAAAATACACTCCAAGAATGAAGGTAAATAAAGATATTCTCAGATAAAAGAAGACTAACATAGTTCTTCTCTAGTTCTTAACTAAAATAAATCCTTAAATAAGTTTTCAGTCTAAAGGAAAACCACAGCAGAAGGAAACTCATCTATTCAGGAAAGAATGAATAGCACCAGAGATGCTAAATATCTAGGTAAATACAAAATCATTTTCCTATTGGTTACTTTGAAATACATAGTGTATTAAAGCAAAATATGTTATTTTTCATGGTTAATAACCTAATGTCATATATAGATGTGAGACATATGCCAACTACAGCATTAAAAACAATGAGGGATAGAGATGGACGTTTACAGTTTCGCATTTACTACATTTTACAATATTAAGTATAAAGAGACTATGAAAAATTAACTATATATTTTGTAAACCCTGCATTGACAGCTAAAGATAAATATAAAAGTATTGCTAGAGTGAATTGAAAAATTAAAATGGAATTCCAATATGTTCAATTAATCCAAGTTAAGGCAGAAATGTGAAAAGAGTGAAACAAAAAACTGAAAGGATAAACAGAAGACAAATAATATATGTGGGAGATGGAAATACAAATTTATCAATGCAGGACTAAATGCTCAAATTGAAAAGTCAGAGATGATCAGAATGGATAAAAAGTCAGGACCCAATTACATGGTGTTTACAGTGAGCCACTTGAAATGTAAAGACAGAAGTTTGAAAATAAATGTATATAAAATGGCATACCATGAGAAACTATGTACAAGAGTGAAGGTGCCACACTAATGTCACAGGAAATAGACTTTAAGGCAAAGAATATTACCAGAGATATATGTCATTATCAGTGATACTCTATAATTCAATTAATCAGAAAAACATATAATAGTAAATGTTTATTGGCTTAATGATTCAAAATATATTTTTAAAAATGACAAAATTAAAGGGAGAAATAAACCTATAACTAGGATTGGAGATTTTACATTATTTTCTCAGCAACTGAAAGATAAATCTAACAAAGATATCAGTTAGAGACTGGGTGATGTAAGCAACCCTTAATCAACCATCATAACCTAATTGATATTTACAGAACATTACAACTAACAGATACCAAATACACATTTATTTCACATGCACATGGCATATCACCAAGATAGGTCATATGCTGAGCCATACAGCAATTATCAATTAATTTAAAAGGATTGACCATAGAGTATGTTTTTTGACCACAAAGGAATGAAAGTAGAAATCAGTAACAATTAATATATCTAGAAACTTCCCAAATATTTTTAAATTTATTTACAGACTTTTAAGTAATCCATACATCAAAAGAAGAAATCAGAGGAAATTTAAAAAATACTTAAACATTTGAATGATAATGAAAATAGAAGAAATCAAATTTTTCAGGGTACAGCTAGAGGACTGTTTTGCTTTAAATGTTTATATTATTACAGAAGAAAGCCCTAAAACCTGTAGTTTCAGTCTTTCCATAAAGAAGCTAGGAGGGAAGTAACCCAAAAGCAAGCAGCAGGAAGAAAAAATTTTAAAAATATCAGTGAAAAAGAAAACAGTCAACAATAAAGGAAATTAGTAAACACAAAATTTGGTTATTTGAAATAATCAATAAAAACAAATGCAGTTTTTTGTAGGTAAATTACCTCAATAGATTTTATTTAAGAAAATACATTTCTGGGGCACCTGGGTGGCTCAGTTAAGCAGCCACTCTTGGTTTCAGCTCAGGTCATGATCTCAGGCTCCTGGGATGGAGCCAGCTCCTTGCCGGGCTTGTGCTCCGTGCTCAGCAGGGATTGTGCTTCAGGATTCTCTCTCTCTCTCTGCCCCCATCTCCCCAGCTCACTCTCTCTCCCTCCCTAAAATAAATAAACAAATCTTTAAAAAAAGAAAATATATTTCTGTGAACACAGATTTTTTTTACCAGTAACTGTGATAGTCATGTACAGATACATGATTTTTAGGCATTTGCCTGGACTTATTTTTCTTAAGATTTTATTTATTTATTTGAGAGACGGTGAGCAAGAGGGAGTGCGAGCACAAGCCAGGGAGAGGCAGAGGGAGAGGGGGAGGGAGACACAGACTCTCTGCTAGCAGGAAGCCCAATAAGGGGCTTGATCCCAGGACTCTGAGATCATGACCTAAGCCAAGGCAGGGGCTTAACCAACTGAGCCACTCAGTCACCACTCCCACCTTTTTTTTTTTTTTTTTTAAGATTTTGCTTGGAATTAAGGCTCATGCTTAATTACTCACCTTCTTGAGTGTCTTATAGATACCAAAGTAAATATATTGATTGAAAAATGTTCTTAGCTTCCACAAAGTAGTGTCCAAAAAGAAAATGAAGAGAAGGCAAATAAAGCCTGTGATACTCATTATAATCATGTACTTTCCAATCATTTTCTCTTCCAAAGAATAAAAATTCTTTGCAGTATCTGAGAATGACAGAGAGACAGAGAGAGGGGGGGAGATAGAGAGAGATCGTAATAGAGAACACTGACACCATGAACAAGGACTAAGAAAACAATAAATAAGAAATATAGGATGAAATGAAGTGTTAGGCTAAATTGAGACAAGTAAACTATTTGGAATGTGAAAAGTGATTATCCTGCTACACAAATATCTTTTCGACAATGAATTTTGAAGACTAATTTCATGAATATAATATATACTAATCAAGTAAGCATATGAATATTAATATATTTACTGATATGCCTGTTAATTATTGCATGCCATGAAAAATATGCCCCAAATCCTTTCAGAAGTGTGAAATCTTAAATTGATACTTAGAAGAAAGTATTAAAGTGCAAATACTCTTACAAAACATAACTTTGCTTTAAAAAGGTAAAAATGACCATTAGTGATACTTCTTGAGCTTTCTTGAGAAGAAAGTTGAATAAAAAGTATAGAATTTCTCTTATAAGAAAATTATATACTCTCCTTCCTTTTAAAAAAAGTTTATCTTTTAGAATGGTTTTAGATTTACAGAAAAATTACAAAGACAGTATGGAGAATTCCATATACTCTGCACACGCTTTCCCTAATTATTAACAACATACATTAGTATGGTACATGTTACAATAATGAATAAATATTATCACTAACAAATATCAAATATTGTCCTTAACTAAAGTTCCTGATTTATTCAGGTTTCCTTTTTTTAATGTAGTTTTCTTCCTTCCTTCCTTCCTTCCTTCCTTTTCCTTTTTTGTTCTGTGAACCAGTCCAGAATCCTATATTACATTTTGTAGTTGTGTTTCCTGAAGTTCCTCTTAGCTGTGACAATTTCTCAGATTTTCCTTATTTTTTGTGACATTGACAGTTTTGAGGAGTACTGGTCAGGTATTTTGTAGGACTTCCTTCAGCAGGGATCTATTCGATTTTTTCTTTTTTTTCTTCTTTATGATTAGAATGGGATTATGGGGTTTTGGGAGGAGGATCACAGAGATAAAGTGACGTTTTTATTGCAACAACAACAAAAGGCACACACTACCAGGGTGACCTCGATCACTTGGTTGATCTTGTGTTTGTCAGGTGTCTCTGCTGTAAAGTTACTCCCTTCCCTCTCTGTCCATACTCTATAATATTCTCTGGAAGGAAGTCAAAATGTACATCCCACTTTATATGTGGGAGAGTGAAGTTACCCTCTACCTCCTTGAGGTTGGAATAGCTACATAAATTGATCGGAACTCTATTGGAGACTTTTCTCTTATCCATCATTTTTTATTTGGTCATTTGTTTATATCAAAATAGATTCATATGATCAATTTATACTTTCAGTTACAAATCCAATATTACCTTCTTTTGTTGCTGAAATTGTTCTAGCTATGCCATTGGACTTTGTCATTTTTAAGAATAATATTTTACAAGTGTTTGCAGTTTATGTATAGAAATGCAATCGAATGTTTTGCTTGCATTTATTTCACATTAATCAACCCCAAGATATTCTTAAAAAAGCTTAATATTTTATCAGAGGATCCTTTGAGATTCCTGGGTAGACCACCAAATCTAGTATTATTTCAACTTTTCCATTCCTCATATTTTAGAATTATATTATAGTTTTAAAATACTTGACTCATACAGAATATATGCTACATATGTATAGATTTAAAGCATTGTATCATAATGGAATCTATGACCTAGGCTCCAAATTAAGAGTTTACAAATAATTTTAAAATACAATACTTATATGCTCCTTCACTTCTCCACCCTCCAGAGGTAACTGCTATGATGAAATGTATTCTGCATTCCTATTTTAATTACAAGTGGACCATATAAATATAAATATATATATGAAATATATGTGTTATATATAAGTAAATAATATTTTGTTTAATTTTTAAATTTGAATGTTATAGAAATAGTATCATGCTCTATATAGTCTACAGGAGCCTGTTTCCCTCCATGTTATCATTTAAATTTTTTCAAATATAAAGTAAAATTGAAATAATAGTAAAATAAAGACCATCTCCTCCACCTAGTATCAACTACGTTAATGTTTAGTCATATTTGCTCCCCACATGTTGCCCACTATGTGTCTATTTCTAATTAAGTTAACTCTGTGGTTTTTAAAAGATTATTTTCTTGTATGTGTTATTTTTATTTTTGTCTCCTTGCCATACTAACTTTGTATGAACGTTGGCTATCTCTGTTGTGAATTGTGAATTTTCATGAACCATCAAAACAACAATTTTATGGAGTGGTGATGAAAAGTTTCGGCTGATTACTTGGTTGCTTAGCTTATGAAAGAATTTCTGTTGGCAAAGTGAAATATAATTTCTTTAATAAATGTCCTTCTGGGATGCCTGGGTGGCTCAGTTGATTAAGCATCTGCTTTTGGCTCAGGTCATGATCCCAGAGTTTGGCATTGGGCTCCCTGCTCAGCAGGGAGCCTGCTTCTCCCTTTGCCTGCTGCTGGCGGGGGCGGGGGGGGATAGACATTTCTATGAAGATATACAAATGGACAACAGGTACATGAAAAGATGCTCAACATCACTGGTAACATTAGAGAAATGCAAATTGAAACAATAATGTGATACAACATCATACCTACTAGAAAGGCTATATAATTTTAAAAAAATGGAAAATAACAATTGTTGGAGCGGATATAGAGAAACTGGAACCCTTCTACATTGCCATACAAAATATTCCCTGTTTCTATGGAGACTCAATATCTAATTTTCCATGTCACTATATTTTACCTGAAATGTTTCTCTTCCATTTTTTTCTACCTCAGCTCATCCCCTAAAATTTATTGTCATAGAGTTTATAGTTCTGAACACTGAGCTTCCCTCTGAGGTCATCGACTACAGTTCTAGGTCAGATCTGGCTTACTAAGTATTCCTTCTCACTCTGCCCACTCTCACCAAAGTAAGATATTTTCAAAATTACCTAATAAGTGATACAGTGCCACTATGAGGATTTCTAAAGTTAAAATGAATGTTTACTCCTTTCAACAAAACTGCAGTACTGGGTGCCTTTCTCTTACTTTCCTTTCTGGCTCTTTTCTCTATTGTATGGCTCTTTACCACCCAAATCACCATATCCTGACCATTACTTAATTATCTAAAACAAAACAAAACAAAACGCACAGAACAGTTGAGTTCCTCTGTATGCAGATACTACATTAAACGCTGGAGGATGGATTTCACCCATTCCTTCAAAAATATTGTGGGCAGGTGAGTTTGGGTGATTATGAGTGGTGAAGGTGGTGGGAGATAACAAAACTAAATATCATACAACTTCTTCCCCTGGAGGTTCTTTTCCAAAGATGAAATGCATTATGCAACGAGGGAACATAAGCTGTGAATCCCAGTTCTGGACCATAAAAGCGGTGTGTCATAGGGCACAGAGTCATCTTCCTCGAAATGAGTATAAAAACTGAGAACTTGAGGTTGTGAAAATTTAAAATAATGTAAGTAGTTACTAGGTGGTTGATTATTAGTAGCTCTTATTTTTATATCTGATGACTACTTTAAAGTTACCTTGGCTTTGTTTTTGAGGTTTTATTATATTTACAAAGGTTTTCCCCCAGTCTTACAAAATGATGTATGTACTGAACATGTGTCCTGACTCTCTCTTTTGAAATAAGGGCTGATTCCCCACACGTCTCATGGGCTAAGCCCGAAACTAATTTCTTAGGCTTAGGGACCCCAAGAATACTGTGAAAATTAATAAAGGGAAGCCTCACTAAAGTGGAGTCAGGAGGCCAGCAGGGGGAACTCTCACACCCTACCAGTTGTCAGTGACAAGAATTGTCAATTATAGATCCAAAAAAAGAATCCTCAACAGGAAAGAATCATGATTACAGACCCCAACAACAACAACAAAAATGTACATTGCATCTCCTATAAGAAATTGACTACCCCTGCACCTCAGCCAATGGGAAACAGTCATCACCCCGAACTTTTGCTTCTCTCTAATGGAGTTTTGTTCAAACAGTCCCTCTCATCTTCCTCCCTCCTCCTAAATAATGTTCCTCTCTAAAATAATATTTGTGAGATTTGCCTAGTTTGCTGTAACTTGCTTGTTCTGCATTGCAATTCTCTGTCATTCCCCAATTAATCCATTTTTGCTGGAAAAATTACTGGCAGTTTTACGTTTAAGGTTAATAATACTTACTTTCTTTACTACAATTTAGGTAGATAGGAGGCTTATTTCCAGAGCACCATTTCTTTATCTGGTAGAAAGTAAAATAGTCACTGATACACTTTGCAAGGTTGTAATTGGGAAAGAACAGTAATGAGTTAAGTATGAAGGCTCTGGTGGTTTTTGACATCTTATGTTGAACTTCTAAAAAAGATGATTAGATTTCATTATAGGTAATGAACTATCTCCAGGACAACAAATCCCCCAAGGATGGTCAAACCAAGTTCAGAGAATTATTTAAAATAATAATTAAAATTATTATATTTGAAGAACACTAATTACTTCCCAATAAGTTTGTTCCAATTGACATCCAGTGACACACTTTGTGTTGATAATTGCAGAGTTCTGAAAAGTCTCTCTGGTGAAGTGGGTGTCCATGGGATAAGACTTCCTGGCACCTGATACGGATAGGAAACCACTACTATTTTTTTTATTTCTAATCTTAATTGATCAAGTAAGGGAGTAAAGTAGAGGTTGGAGATATAGCCTAGAATTGAAAAGTAGGGAACAGATAGGGAAATTATGACATGTTTGAGAGTAGAAAAATCTTCAAGGGAACCAGCTGATAGCTACTCTCTCTCAAGAATGCATTAAATATGAACAGTTATTAGAGACTAAATTCCTGGAGATATGAACATGCTTAATTTATGAAATTGACATTATAGAATTCTGATCATGAATTCAGTTTTTTAGAAAGAAGATAAAAGGCTAGTCTAAACAGAAATTTCATATAAGACACTTTGGGCAAAGAGAGATGGCCAAGAAGTGAAACTTCAAGTGTCCAAGCCATGGTGATTCTGTCCAGTGTAGATTTTAAACTGATAAAGAGACAAGTAATTGATCCAGATTGAAAAATTCAGGCTATTGGCCAAATGAACAGATGCCAAAAAGGGCACAATATACACCAGCACTATCTTTTTATGAATATGGAATAGCTCTATAGCTGCACCAGGTACACACATCTGACTGCTGAGCACTTGAAATGTGGCTAGTGTGGCTGTGGAACTAAATTTTAAATTGCATTTAATTTCACAAAAAAGGCATAAAATATAATAATATATACCTAAAACCTGGGGAGGAGAGGAGAAAAGAAGGAGTTCAAACTTAAATGACCAACAACTTAATATAGACTGCTATATGCAGGACAGGTTATATACAAACCTAATGGTAACCACAAATTGAAAACCACTAAAAATATGTAAAGAATGGAAAGAAAGAACTCTAAATATATCACTAAAGAAAATCAGCAAAACATGAAAGACAAGAAAAGATCAGAAAAAACTTCGGAAACAACAATAAAGCAAGTAATAAAATGGCAACAAATACATATCTTTCAATAATTACTTTGAATGTAAATGGGCCAAATGCTCCAATCAAAAAACATAGGGTGATGGAATGAATTAAAAACAATGCCCATCGTTCTAGAGGGGAGGGTGGTGGGGGGATGGGTTAATCTGGTGGTGGATCTTAAAGAGGGCACATTCTGCGTGGAGCACTGGGTGTTATGCACAAACAATGAATCATGCAACACTACATCAAAAACTAATGATGTAATGTATGGTGATTAACATAATAATAAAAAAGAAAAAAAACAATGCCCATCTATACGGTGATACTTCTATGTATATTGAGTTCTTAATTTAAATTATTACTAAATCTTAACATTTCTCAGGATTCTATTTGGATCTTTTTCAAATCTACTTGTTCTCTCTCTGTCTATATATATTATGCATATATATACATACATGTACATATATGTAGCATATGCATATATGTTCTATTATTTATTATATATTCTATTATATATATTCCATTATTTGCTTATGTTCCTGAGACACTCTATTACAATTTAAATATATTAAACATACATATTTATGCATATTAAATGCACATTATATATATTAATAATTTAAACATATATATTTATATTGTATGCATATATATAACATACATGGATACATGTTCTATTATTTATATTCTATTATTTGCTCATATTCCTAAGACTCTGTTACAATTTAAATATTTTAAACATACATATTTTATATCCTTCTAAAAATCCCCAAATCTTAATTTTGCAGGTCTGATTCTGATTCTACAATTTGTGGTTTCTGCTAGCACTTGCTCTTAAGACCTTGTTTTTTTCCTCTTTTTTCTTTCTTTGTTCTTTTATTTGATTTCAAGTTCTCTAGCAAATTTAACTATGGGAATACTTTGAAGTAGAGGAATTATGTATCCCTTTGCCACTCACCTGAGAGCACAACCGAGATTATTTAAAATAAATTATCAAGTTATGTTTTTTAGCTTACATACTATGTTCTATGATTGCAGGACACAAGCCAGTATGAACAGGTACATGTGTTTACAAATTCCAAAGGGAAATTATTATCCCTCATTTCAGTGCCAAATTCAACCCTTACAAGTTTCCTTTCTGTGTCCTATTGTGGCACTCGTTTTGTTCACCCTTATAATGAAGACATAACCCTTTGAACTTCTAATTTTAAAGAGGAAGATATTAAACCTTTGTTGTACCTTTATGCTTTTTATTTTGACCTCTATGTTCCTCACAACTTATAAAATGGAAAATTAAGGTCAACAGATGCTGTCAATAACCTCAAATCAAAGCTACCTTTAATGCTTGCTTATCTTAAAGGACACTTGCTTTCACTTTATTGTTGGCCTCTGCCAATTCTATACCTTCTCCTCAGTTCATTATTTTTGGCACAGTATCATAGTGTTTGTTCTGCTGCTCAAAAGTGGAAATCTCCTTTGATTTTCTAATTGCCAAGTCTTTGGCTTCCTTTTTGTTCTCATCCTATTCTGCATTACTCTTTGCAACATAGTCCTTCTAAAGAAGTCTTTCAAAAACTTTCTAAAACAGTAATTTATTCCTATTCTTACTCTGAAACAACTATTTCTCTCTAGTCCCTTAAATGATCATTTCCTTTTAGATTAGGGCTCACAGACTCAAATGCTTACAGGTGAGTCTTCCTCACATCACAAACTAGTACTCTTCGGACAAATGTGCAAAAATATACAAACATTTGCTTTCCATAATTTGGGTATCCCTTTGTGAGAATGAGTGCTAAGACATATCTGTTTCACAAGTTTTTTCACCTGCTGTGCATAAGCTTAAGTCTTATGCATGTGAAATTACGAACTATTCTTTTGTGACCAGGGAAGGGCAAAGGGAACAAGGCAGAAGCCAGCGTTTGTGGAGCAACAACAGAAAGGGAGGATGTGGGAAAGGGCTGAGGCCAACTGAAATGCACATTAGAGGGTGAATCGACAACTCCATTTACAACAGTGGCCATTTCAGTGATGATCGTCCCAAGTCTCAAAATCAAAGAAGGAAAAGGAGGAAATACAAATTCAAGAATACTGTAGAAACTGGTCCTGGAAGGGAGGAAAACTGGCTTAATTATATGTATGTCAGATGCATATAGAGATTTTCTTCCTGGAAAATCTTGTTAGGGTGCTCATGATCTTGTGCCTTTTCATTGAATTAGGGAAGAAAAGTCACACCATAAAACCTTCCTTGAACAAAACTGTCAGCCTCTCCCAAGAACTCAAGATTCTCCTCCACTCTTCCCTCTCTTCACCTCACTACAAACTGCCATAACATCAAGGGGGAACACTTTTAAAGATAATAATGGCCTCATATAGTTGAGATAGAATTTATTCTAACTTTCTGAGGCCAGCCCTTCTAAAAAGAAAGCTCCTTTTTTGTATTCTCTCTCTCTCTTTGACAAATGAGTCTCAGGACAGATGTTCCTAAAATTTCCCATATCTGTTGCAAAACAGATTCCTTAGTCATGTGATGGAGTTACTGGAGGTGGGGATAGAGCAGAAGAAACTTGTCAAAGGACTTGTAGGTCACGTCCAGCCCCATCAGTTCAGCATGAGGATCCCAGGTCTAACACAGCACCCAGAATATCATAGCACTCAAAAATAATTTTATGAACTTACATCAAGTACAGGATTTTCCCAAAACCTAGAACTTTATTGTCTACTAATGTCGTTAGTCCATTCCTACTTATTTATTTACTGCTGCCTTCTGAGTAAAGAGAAACTTTGTGAAGCCCTTACTCTTACCGAATTGAAGTGTGGCATCTATGAGGAGACTGAAAATGCCTGAAAGGTAGTTGAATAGGACAAGTTTGATGTAGGCAGAAGTACTTCTAGTAAACAAGAAGCTCAGCAGGTACATGAGGGGAATGGCAGACCAGCCATATAGCACGAAGATCAGCATTGTGTCCAGAAAATGGTAATCTGTGATGTAAATATCCAACTGGCAGAATTTGAATGCTCCCTGAAACACAGAGGGCATAGAGATAAAGGCAAGGTGAAGGGCAAGTCGAAAATACGCAAGCCAGAATGTGTAGAGGAGACAGCAAGTCCTATCGCTATGTAGCATGGAAGTATTCATTAATTAAATCAGTTAGCCTCTATAAAATACTTCAACCTAGGAGCATGAAGTAAGGTACTTCTACCTCTACTTAACCAGAGGATAGTCCAATGAGCAGAACCGCCATAATTCCCTTTATTTTTTTTTCCTACCTGGAATGGTTTTTTATTTTTTTAAAATTTTTTGAAGACTTTATTTATTTATTTGACAGAGAGAGACAGATAATGGCAGAGATAGCGAGAGAGAGCACAAGCAGGGGGAGAAACAAAGGGAGAGGGAGAAGCAGGCTCCCCGTGGAGCAAGGAACCCAACCTGGGGCTCGATCCCAGGTCTGTGGGATCATGACCCAAGCTGAAGGCAGACGCTCAACCGACCGAGCCACCCAGATGCCCATGGAATGGTTTTTTAATGAACAAAGTCAGTATATTTTCCCCCAATAAGGCTAACTCTCACCTTTCCCAGAAAGATTACTTCTCTAGAGAGCCTCTTTCTCTGAAGATTTTTATCTCTGGTTATACCTTTGAACCAGGTCTCCTACTCCCTATTCTACTCCCCCCCACGGCCATCGCACCCACCCAAGCAACTCTGGGGCTTAATTATCGATAGATACGTGTTTATTGCTATTTTATTATTTGTTCTGTTGTTTCTGGAGATTTTCTCTAGTCCTTTCTTGGCTTTGTCATTCTTGGTCTTTTCTTTCCACTCAAAGAATCCTCTTTAATATTTCTTGCAGGGCTGATTTAGTGGTCACAAACTTCTTCAGTTTTTGCTTGTTTGGGAAACTCTTTTATCTTTCCTCTATTCTGAATGATAGCCTTGCTGGACAGACTATTCTTGGCTGCAGGTTTTTCCCGTTCAGCATGTTGAATTTATCATGGCACTTCCTTCTGGCTTGCCATGATTCGATCTGCTAGCCTTATGGGTTTTCCCTTGTGTGTTAAGGATTTCTTTTGTCTTGCTGTTTTAAAGATTTTTTCTTATCACTCTATTTTGCAAATTTAATTACAATACATCTTATTGGCCTGCTTTTGTTGATCTTGATGGGAGTTCTCTGTGCCTCCTGGATTTGGATGTCTGTTTCCTTCTCTAGGTAAGGGAAATTTTCAGCTATTATTTCCTCATATAAATTTTCTGCCCCCTTTTCTCTCTTATTCTTCTTCTGGGACTCCTAAAACAAATGTTATAACATTTGATGGAGTCACTGGGTTACCTAAGTCTATTTTTATGTTCCATAATTCTTTTTCCTCTCTTTTGTTCAGCGTATTTTCCATTATTTTGTCTTCTATATCACTAATTCATTCCTCTGCTTCTTCCCGCTTACTGTTCATTGCATCAAACCTGTTTCCAATCTCAGTTATTGCATTCTTCATTTCTGATGGATTCTTTTTTAACTCTTTTATTTTAGTGGTAAGGGTCTCCCTGATGTCTTCCATTCTTTACACAAGCCCAGTGAATATCTTTATGATTGTTGCTTTTTTTTATGGTATTAGTAATTTTTTAAAAATTTTTAAAAAATTTTATTTTTTTAGTGATCTTTTTTTATTTAAAGCACAAACTCTTTGTCTTGTTCTTTAACTTAAAAAAAAGTTTAACAGAGGGAGTCTGGGTGGTGCAGTCAGTTAAGCATCTGCCTTCGGCTCAGGTCATGATTCTGGGGGCCTAGGATGGAGCCCCGCATCAGGCTCCCTGCTCGGTGGAGAGCCTGCTTCTCCCTCTCCCTCTGTCTCTCCCCCTGCTTGTGCTCTCTCTCTCAATCTCTCAAATAAATAAAATCTTTTAATAAAAAAATAAAAATAAAAAATAAATTTTCACTCGCATGGATTCTTTAGCTAATGGATAGTTGCATATTCACAATATATATTACAATACTGTCAGTTACACAGATATGTCATTTAATAATATGCACTCATATTTAATAATTTAAATATTTAATATATATAAATATTTAATAATATGCACTTATTTTAAATTCAATTAATATGTAATCTATTATTTGTTTCAGGGATACAGGACTGTGATTCATCAGTCTTACATAATACCCAGTGCTCTTTACAACACATACCTTCCCCAGTTGTCCATCACCCAGTTACCCCATCTCCCCACCCTTCTCCCATCCAGCAACCCTCAGTTTGTTTCCTAAGATTAGAGTATTTTATGGTTTGTCTCCCTCTCTGGTTTTGTCTTGTTTCATTTTTTCCTCTTCCCCTATGATCCTCTGCCTTGTTTCTTAAATTCCACATATCAGTGAGATCTCATGATAATTTTCTCTGACTGACTTATTTTGCTTAGCATAATACCCTCTTAGTTCCATCCACGTTGCTGCAAATGGCAAGATTTCATTTTTTGATGGCTGCATAATATTCCATTGTGTGTGTGTGTGTGTGTGTGTGTGTGTGTGTGTGTGTGTGTGTATACCACATCTTATATCCATTCATCTGTTGATGGACATCTAAGCTCTTTCTATAGTTTGGCTATTATGGACATTGCTGCTATAAACATTGGGGTGCAGGTGCCCCTTTGGATCACTACAATTGTATCTTAGGGGTAAATACCCAGTAGTGCAATTCCTGGATCGTAGGGTAGCTCTATTTTCAACTTTTTGAGGAACATCCTTACTGTTTTCCAGAGTGGCTGCACCAGCTTGCACTCCCACAACAGTGTAAGAGGGTTTCTCTTTCTCCACATCCTTGCCAACATTTGTTGTTTCCTGTCTTGTTAATTTTTACCATTCTAACTGGTGTAAGGTGGTATCTCATTGTGGTTTTGATTTGTATTTCCCTGATGGCTAGTGATGTTGAGCACTTTTTCATGTGTCTGTTGGCCATTTAGATGTCTTTTTTGCAGAAATGTGTGTTCATGTCTTCCTTCCATTTCTTGATTGGATTATTTGTTCTTTGGGTGTTGAGTTTGGTTAGTTCTTTATAGGTTTTGGATACTAGCCCTTTATCTGATATGTCTTTGGCAAATATCTTCTCCCATTCTGTCAATTGTCTTGGTTTTGTCAACTGTTTCCTTTGCTGTGCAAAAGCTTTTTATCTTGATGAAGTCCCAATAGTTCATTTTGCCTTTTTTTCCCCTTGCCCTTGGAGACAGGTCTTTCATCCATTTTGAGTCTATTTTTGTGCACAGTGTAAGGAAATGGTCGTTTTATTCTTCTGCATGTGGCTGTCCAATTTTCCCAACACCATTTGTTGAAGAGACTGTCCTTTTTCCATTGGATATTCTTTCCTGCTTTGTCAAAGATTAGTTGACTATAGAGTTGAGGGTCCATTTCTGGGTTCTCTATTCTGTTCCATAGATCTATATGTCTGTTTTTATGCCAGTACCATACTCTCTTGATGATTACAGCTTTGTCATAGAGCTTGAAATCCGGGATTGTGATACCACCAGCTGTGGTTTACTTTTTCAACATTCCTTTGGCTATTCAGGGTCTTTTCTGGTTCCATACAAATTTTAGGATTGCTTGTTCCAGTTCTGTGGAAAAACTTCATGGTATTTTGATGGGGATTGCATTGAATGTGTAGATTGCTCTAAGTAGCATAGACATTTTCACAATATTTGTTCTTCCAATCCATGAACGTGGAATGTTTTTCTATTTCTTTGTGTCTTCCTCAATTTCTTTCATGATTGCTCTATAGTTTTCTGAGTACAGATCCTTTGTCTCTTTGATTAGATTTATTCCTAGGTAGCTTATGGTTTTGGGTGTAATTGTAAATGGGGTTGGCTCCTTAATTTCTCTTTCTTCTGTCTCATTGTTGGTGTGTAGAAATGCAACTGATTTATGTGGATTGACTCTATAACTTGCCACTTTACCAAATTCCATATGAGTTTTAGCAATTCTGGGGTGGAGTCTTTAGGGTTTTCCATATAGAGTATCATGTCATCTGCAAAGAGTGAGAGTTTGAGTTTTTCTTTGCTGATTCAGACGCTTTTTATTTGTTTTTGTTGTCTGATTGCTGATGCTAGAACTTCTAGTACTATGTTGAATAGCATTGGTGACAGTGAACATCCCTGCCATGTTCCTGACCTTAGGGGAAAAGCTCTCAGTTTTTCCCCATTGAGAATGATATTCTCTGTGGGTTCTTCATAGATGACTTTTATGATATTGAGGTATGTACCCTCTGTCCCTACACTGTGAGGAGTTTTAATCAAGAAAGGATGTGGTACTTTGTCAAATGATTTTTCTGCATCATATGGTTCTTGTCCTTCCTTTTATTTATCACATTAACTGATTTGCAGATATTCAACCACCCTGGAAGCCCAGGAATAAATACCACTTGGTCGTAGTGAATAATCCTTTTAATGCACTGTTGGATCCTATTGGCTAGTATCTTGGTGAGAATTTTGGTATCCATGTTCATCAGGGATATTGCTCTGTAATTCTCCTTTTTTGATCTGGTCTTTATTTGGTTTTGGGATCAAGGTAATGCTGGCTTCAGAAAAAGAGTTTGGAAGTTTTCTTTCCATTTCTATTTTTTTTTAAATATTTTTTTTAAAGATTTTATTTATTTATTTGAGAGAGAGAGAATGAGAGATAGAAAGCACGAGAGGCAGGAGGGTCAGAGGGAGAAGCAGACTCCCTGCTGAGCAGGGAGCCCGATGTGGGACTCGATCCCGGGACTCCAGGATCATGACCTGAGCCGAAGGCAGTCGCTTAACCAAGTGAGCCACCCAGGTGCCCTCCATTTCTATTTTTTTGAAACAGCTTCAGAAGAACTTTGATTAATTCTTCTTTAACTGTTTTGTAGAATTCCCCTGGGAAGCCATCTGGCCCTGGGCTCTTGTTTGTTGGGAGATTTTTGATTACTGCTTCAACTTCCTAGCTGGTTATGGGTCTGTTCAGGTTTTCTGTTTCTTCCTGGTTCAGTTTTGGTAGTTTATATGTCTCTAAGAATGCATCCATT